TTTCCCCACACACTATAATCACTTAAGGACCTTGTGTACATACCTTATAGCACTGTCTCAGAAGAAAGAAAGAAAAGATAAGTGTGGGTCAGAATCCATTTAGCACCCAACAAATATTTTCTGGAGATCATTTTAGGGTCTGATGTTAGATAAACAAAAGTAACAATTTGAAGTTTATAATTCACTTTGGTAGGCAGATATTGGTCATATGAAGGGGTAGCTCCCAAACTGGAATTGCGCTGGGCAGAGGGAGTTTTTGTAGTCTGCATTTTTCCTGCTAGCTGAGCATCAAGCAACTCGCTCTGATTTAGTACACCCAGTGGTATCCCCTAGGAAGGTTCTCTATGGTCACAGTGAAATTTTTTATAAGAGCAGTTTCGCTTGAACCTCATTTTAGAGATGGCCAATTTAAGAGAACAGTGTGTGAATGTGAAATTTTGTTTCCTCTTCACGAAAAGTGCCACAGAATCTGTTGTGATGTTGAACACAGCTTAGGACAGCACTATGGGAAAAACTCAATTGTATGAGTGGTTTTCTTGTTTCAAAAAAGGTGAAATGTTGACTGATGACAAACCTTGTTCTGGAACTCTTTCAACTTCCCAAGCAGATGAAAATGTCAACTCATAGTACTTGGAGTTCATTCATTCAGGTCAGGCTCTTAATCAAGTTTTTTATTTAGAGGTTCTGAAAAGATTGTATAACACTGTGTGACAATAAAAGGGCTGATTTGTGGCATATGGGGGACTGGTTTTGCTACCATGGCAATGCACTTGCTCCTGCAGCCATCTTGGTGCAGTAGTTTTTGGTAAAACACAGCATGCTCTCTTGCCCCACACACTTTACTCACCTGACCTCACTCAGTGAAACTTCTTTTTGTTTCTGCAAATTCAGAGGGACATGCAAAGACAGCCATTTGATGATGTAGAAGAAGTGAAGAAAAAAATCAAAAGAGGTGTTGTCAACCATACAAACAGATGAGTTTTAAAAATGTTTTCAAGAATGGAATCACAGATTTGACAAATGTATTAAGTGCAATGGAGAGTACTTTGAAGGTGATAAGGTTGTTTTTTAAAAAAAAATAAATACATAGCTTTGAAAAAAATCTGGGTTTTGTTTTTGGAGGGTACTCCCTCATATAATTATAATGTTTTAAAAGTAACTAGATAAACAGATGTATTTCCATCAAGTCAATTCAAATTTTGGCAACCAAGTGTGTTGCAAATTAGAACTGCTCCATGTGGTTTTTTACAACCCTGGTAGCACTATGGGGTAAATATTGGGCTACTTACCACAAGTGCAACAATTCAAAACCACCAGCCACTTTGTGGCAGAAAGAAACCCTACAGAGGATTGCTATAAGTTAGAAATAACTCAAAAACAATGGAGTAAGCAAATGACCAGGTAGTTCTTTTACAACTATGTGTGATGGGTTCAAACTGGCAACCCCTGTGTTAGCAGCCAACTGTTTACACTAGCCAGAGACCTTTTAATTGCAATACCAAACCAAACTCACTTCCATTGAGTCAATACTAACTCCTAGTGACCCTATAACCCAGGGTATAGCTGCACCTGTGAGTTTCTGAGACTGTAACTGTTTAGAGGAGTAGAAAGTTCCATGTTTCTCCTGGGGAGCTGCTGGTGGTTTCGAGCTACCAACCTGAAGGATCGCAGCCCAAGGAGTAACCACTATGTCATCAGGACTCCTTGTGATTTCAATAGACCGGATTATTAGTTCTGAAGGGGAACAGGTAGGGTGCAATAGAAACACTTGATCAGAATCTGGAAAGAAAGATCAGAGAAGCCTTCCTGAGAGAGGTACTCTAAACCTTCCTTATCCAAAGGATAGTATGGCCTTATCCAGGGAACCCTGAGTGTGTCTCAGAAAAGGAAAACAGTACATGAAACGTAGAGCGATCACAAGAGAGAAATTTGCATTTGAGAAGCAAAAAATCTACTTATGGTGAATGACTTGGGGAATGCCAGATCAAGAAAGACCTTAGAAAACGACCTAAGAATTAGACTGTTGACTGGGCTACCCAGGTCGAACATCAGGGAGAATGTGGATAAGATGCACTCCACCGCCCCTTCACTCTCAACATATCTTCTGTGGCAGTGAGACGGGATACATTGGGAAATGTTTGGGGGGGGGAGAAAAAGAGGATAAAGAGACTTGGACCATGCACTTAGAGAATGGGGAATGGCATATCTGCAGAGCCAAATGAGAATGTATCAGTTAACGATATCACATATCTCCACATCAGATGAAGGCTGTAGCATATCTTAACTGCCATATATGCTTGTAGAATATATAAAAACAGTGAAACTGCTTATTATAAGATTGAGAACTTCTCTTCTTGCGTTTAACTTCTGTCTCACAACAAGCTGGGCTTCCTTGCATCCCATAATGTAATCATTCTAAAGGCCCAGGACAATAAACTATATTACATCTATTGTAGCATAATCTTAATACAAACGTGGAGATTTATAACTACAATGGGAAAAGTTGTGAACTTTGAGGTGCCAAAGTTGTTAATGGTGCTAATGAGCTGGCATGGTATTTAACAGAATGGCTGTGAAAGATCATACTTCTAATTTTCTTCAGTTGCTGTCCTTCCAAGATACTTAAGTTCAAATGAGTTACTTCAGCAACACACCTAGGTCTGTTGTAACTCCCCATAAGTAACAGCAAAGAGAGAAAAATGAAGAAAATCTGCTTTTCTGGTGAGTGAGCTGGTATACAAAACTCAGGATTTAAAATTAGAGCTTGCATAAAGCGTCCATAGTTCTACTCATGGACTATTTTGGAATAACCAAAAAGCTAGTGAGAATTGAACCACTGCCTGCTCACTCGTGCATGCGCTCTCTCTCTTTCTTTGTAAATTTCTTCATTCTCCTCCCACAAATCCTCCATGTGGTTGGGAAAAGATGAATTTTGTTTAGACTTGAGAAATTAAAACGTGGGGATCCATAGAATATTAGTGACGACCTCTCTCTGTGTATCAGACATAAGCTGAGAACCAAGCTCACCCTCTCCACTTCATCTCTTCGTTCTCCTCAACCAACTTCCCTTGCCTCTCCTTTCCTATGGAATACTCCATTCCTTGAACACCAACAAAAGTCTCTTAAGATTCTGTCAGCGAAAGTATCTCACTTTTGGTTTATACTTTGAAATACAGGCCACAGCACGAGGAGGCAATGTGTCCTTCTTGTTGTTCTGAGGGGCTATCAAGTCGTTCTGACTCATAGTGACCGATGTTCAACACAAGTTGAACCTGTACCGTCCTCTCAATGATTGTTGTTTGAACCCACTATTGCAGCCACTATGTCAAGTCCCCAGACAAGGGCCTTTCTCTTTTTCACATTTTCTACTTGAGCAAGGATAATGTCCTTTATGAGGGACTGAGCTCTCCTATAGCGTGTCCAAAGTATATGAGACAAGTCTCGTTATTCATGCTTCTAAGGAGCACTCTAGCTGGACATCTTACAAGGCAAATTCGGGTTTTGGTAATCCATCATGCTTACAATATTCTCTACCAGCACCATAATTTTAATACATTGGTTCTTCTTTGATCTTCCTTAGTCAATGGCCAATGTTCACATACATACTATGGCTTGGCACGCCTTAGTCCTCCAAGTGGCATCCTTGATCTTGAACACTTTAAAGAAATCTGGAACTTACATAGGAGCAATTGATGTCTATTCCACAGTAAGCCCCTGGCCTCATTTTGGCTGCTGATACTGGATTATTCCATTATCTCTCCCCACATATGTCATCCATTTGATTTCTGCGCATTCCATCTGGAGAATCCACTTGTATAGTTGCCATTTTTATTGTGGAAAACCTATTTTCCTGAAGAAGTCCTTGGTCATGCAAAATTCTATCATATGATCTCCAGTTTCATTTCTATCACCAAGGCCATATTCCCCAACTACTGTTCCTTCTTTTTTTGTTTCCAACTTTCACATTCCAACCATTGATCATGATCAATATATCTTGATTGCATGTTTAATCAATATCAGTTTGAAGACATTGGTAGAATTAATCACTTATTTCATCACTAGCTTTTATGGTTGGTGCACAAATTTAGATAATAATGATATTGAGTTTATTTCTTTGAATCCACATAGATATTATCCTACAACCGACAGCATTATGCTCTAAGATAAGTCTTGTAACGTCCTTTGATGAAAAACCATTCCCATTGAATTTGTCACTCCCCCCGTAGTAAACCCTGAAATTGTCTGATTCAAAGTGGTCA